AGGTGTATAGGGTGTACTTAACTTATTGGGTTGTTGCTGTCTATTTCGTACATGTATAAATTATCATGTCTTTTTAATTATAATTATAAATCTGATGTTAATTAATGTCAAAATTAATGAAAAAAAAACGCAGACAAAAAAGAAAACCGGGTCACGGCACCAAAATGTTAGCTCACTCTTTGCGAAACCTATCTAAATGCTACTCCTGTCTGCTAGGAGGGGAGTGAGGAACACTGAGACTATGAATAAATGTAATTTACCTTGAGATGGATACCTAAACGTATATAGGGCAATAGATAACGACTGAATACAAATGAGATAATTCTCAAATGATAGATAAATGATTTAAAATCCGATTTAGATGTGTATATGTGAATGTAATTTTTAGTAATAAAATACGAAATAACAAAAGATCAAACAAAAACAATGGTTTTGAGAAAAATACATAAACGAGAAACAAAATAAAACAATTTAACTAACTCGACACGCACACAGAAGGAAAAAGACACGTGAAGTTAAAAGGAAGAACTCTTTTTTATACTTTTCTATATCACACATGGCCGACGACGATGATATCATATACAGCAACAAAAAATATATCTAAACCAGGGAGAACGAATAAGAGATATAGTTGGCTGATCCAAGAACAGTACGTGACTGTTCTCATGTAGTTAGGGATATCTATGCATTAGCTATTTTTGACGTTAACCATAAAATAAAAACAAAGATAAAGGCGAAAAGAGAAAATACGACTGGCTGTTCAATGACCAGTTGTTTGACTAACTTCTATTAGTTAGCGATAACGATGTGTCATCTGGTTAACGCTAACAGTTTGTTTGTTTTTCTGGCTTAATTATTCTCAAGATCCTCAAAGCGTTGAGAATCGATAATATATTCAATCACAGATTTAGCAACAAGTAAATACGTACCTTTATCAAGCAATGCATTCAAGCATAGTAGATCCATACACGGGGGGCTGCCGTTCAGCATCGATTTAGGTTCCTTATAGAGACGCTTTCTATATCGTGTGTAACGAGTACAATGGAGTAAAAAATGCTCTCTTGATTCAATGCTACCGCAAACACACAATTTAATTTCTGATAGATTTTTTGTAAATAGATCAAAGTTTAATTGGGAAAATTCTGTTCTCAGCTGGTAATAAATAATATCAGCTTTACGTGGAGCATGATAAATTCGATAGACAGGTAAGCGTGAAGTATTATTTAGTTCAACTTTTAGAGATTTAAGAAAAAGGGAGAGATTTTGCGATTCTTTTACATCATGTTTTAAATTATTCCATTCCAAGAACGTCGCCGGAAAAAAGCTCTTTTCGAAAATATGTCGTTGAGTGTATATGTGTTGTATGATAGAACTATGTTTATAATGTGTGGACCACTGATGTGTTGGTTTTGCTGGTACCAATTTAATCGAATAGGAAGGAACAAGTCCTTTCATTATTTTATAAAATAAGATTAGCTTATGTTACAAAAATAAGGTTTCTAGTGATGACCTTCCGTTTAAAGCAACAATAACTGGTAGTGTCAACATAAACTGACAGACAAGTGCTAATCTTGGAAAATGTGAATTCGTCGATTTCGATAGCGGAGTGATTTCACGTAAATCGGAACATTGTTTGATCTTTGATGTTAACTGTTCCAATTCTTTAAACAACGGCAATGAATCTGAAATACCGGGCACATCTTTTGTTAAATGATCAGTATCATTATGAGTAAATTGATCAACAGTAGATGATGAAATAGGTTTGGACCAGCAGAGCGTCTCGTTCAGTGTATCCAAATAAGCACTATATTCGACTGACAAATGATCAAGTATTTTTCGAAATAGTGTAAAATAAAATTGTTAATTAAAATGGCAGTTTTTTCAGTATAGTCACTAAATACTGTTCAATCACTCACCGTATGAATGTGTACGCATTTTGGTTGTTATTGTCGTATCTTTTTGGTCGCATTCTTCTTCGATGCAGTCGTTCAAATTCATTTTCAATGTCGATTTGCAACGGTTCCAGTTCTTTCTCGGCAATCTTAAGAGAGGCTTCACTAGTCAGTCGAGCATTGCTTCCAAAGCTAGTGGAATGGTAGAAATCAACATATATCCTTTTTAATATTTTTGGATCCAACGATCAAAAGTGGAGTTATGAAAAAATCTTTAGTCTCTTTGGACTTAATTTGACCGAGTTATAGCATTTACAAAATGGTCGGTGTCCGAGAACCTTGAAAAAGCATCCTATTTACTATTTTCGCTACAAGTTCACCATTTTTCATCCATTTTGTTTGAGCAGTAGCACATTCCAAAACCTGATAAAGACTAAAGATTTTGACTAAAGACATTTTCCACTATTTGTATTTGAATTAGGAGTAACTTCGATTTTCCACCTAATTTCCGCCTGGATACCAACTCTGGATCACTAATTTACCAAGATTGTCAGCATTTCCATCATTGGCTATAGCATCTTTTAAGTGAATGTATTCATCCACTCTAAGTTTCTTTTGAGTGAGACGCACAAACAATAATCGCTCACTCTCGATCTTGGCATACATGTCAACCACAAACTGGTGGAATAGTTGGCGACACCTTATGATATGACTGACAGCTTCATGTCGCACCATCATTCTATATGCGTAAAAATGTTTCTCTTCTCCAAGACAATGTCCCGCCTGTCGAATTCGTTGCCAGCGATGACGATCGACATCTCATTTGTCAGAGGCTCACTGAAGCGTCGCGCATGCTCCCAAGCAGGTTTCTTGTCCGCTCGAATGACCGCCTTGTACGCATCTGAAGGCATTCTTTGAAGCGCAGATTTGAAGACATGGACATAGCTGTTGTGATGATGAAGCATCTGCTGTAGTTCCATGTCGATATCTTGACGTGTGCCAGGAATATTATTGCAACGTTGCTTTGCTTCTTGCCGTTCGTCACCCATCAAGTAAATTTGAAGGAATTTGTGTTCCTCATTCGAGGCTGGCCCTGCACCTTAAAGGTGGGCATGAAACCTGGCTCACACACTTCATTTGCGGCGCCGAAAGACGTCATCTGGAAGCAGGAATTGTATTTTCTAATGTTCTCCAGGAAATGTTTCGACTGAGACGTTGTTCCTGGCATCAGTGATTCCAGTGGTTCCGGAGGAGGCCGAAGTGCTGGTAGCCTCACCTTACCACCAGAGCAACACATATCTGGTGCTTCTCCAGGCCACTTGAGAGCATCACAATATGAGCAAACATCGGTCATTTGTCCAATATGAAGTTGAGGATGGCTGTCGTAGTTGTTAGCTGGATCATAGCGAAACGCTTCCCCTTCCATGAATGTCCAATGTACTGCTCTTGAAGCTGCTTGTTGTCTACGTTGATCTTCACTCTAAGTCCGTCTTTATTCCGGAGTCTCGACTGCTCTGGAGGCTGCTTGTCTTGCACGTTGGTCGCCAAGCCGAGTTTGTCTCTGCTCTCGACTCTCTGCGTCTCTTGAAGCCGCTTGTCTTACACGTAGACTACCAAGCCGAGTTTGCCTCTGTTCCGAACTCTCGGCGTCTCTTGAGGAAGCTTGTCTGCACGTTGGTCGCTAAGCCGAGTTTGTCTCTGCTCTGGACTCTCAGCTGCTCGAGACTTTGTGTTACAGTGTTGGTGTTCTCCCATTGCGTTTTCTTCCTTCTTCTCTACCATTGTACAGAGCATTATCAACCATTCTGATTCTTGAATATCTAACCACTTTTTAGTTAACTAAGAATTGTATATACACACAGAAAAACATTAGCTATTTATATTGAAGAAAACCAAAATTTTCGAGTTTTGGAGGGAGGGGGGGAATAATACTCCTCTACTCCATTCTCCCTCTCCATCCCTCCGCAGTCGAAACACCCCCGCTGAGTTGTCGAGAAAACATTTTCACTTCGGACTTCTCCGATGAGACTCACTGTAGCGGTCCAACAATCGGATTACTAAGTATCCCAGAGATAAAAGTTTTATATTGAAAAGTAGCCCTTGACCAAGGGCAGTGCGAAGATATAAAAGCAAGATGCAAGTACCTCAGAAATCGGAGAACATAAAAATCCGAAA